CTACTCGCCTTTTTTGTCTTAATTACCGTGCCAGTCATAATCCCCCCATTCCCTCCCTTATTACGCAATCCTTCCTTTTTTATTTAATTTTTTTTACCACAGCACAGAACTAGCAAAATTAATGATATTTAATTTTCCACTGACCCGTCAACTATTCACAAACAAAGAGGAAAGTCTGGAATTTAATTTAAATGGGGTCACTGGTAGTCATAAAAATCACTCAGATAAAAATAAATAACAAATAACTCAAGGCGAAGCGACTAGAAGTGAGTGGCGTGATTAAAGTGGGCAGCGTGCATGTTCCACTCCCTCACTCTTTCCCTCCTCTTCCTCGCTGGATGTCAAACCTGTCCATCATAGACCTTTTTATCTAGAGACAAGATGCAGACTCTGTGTTGTCTGGCCTTTGCAACGTTAATGTCACAGTTTATTTGTGCGTGCGCAATTATAAAGCTTGAAGATTTCCAAGAAAACCACCCACCCACACACACACACACACACACACACACACACACACTCACACCACTCTACTCTCTCATTCATGTTTGTCCTTTCGCAATGCTTACAAACTTTAAATGACATACCTGTATTTACATCGCTGTTAAGGGAGACTTTTGGCAACGTCTCAGACACAGCCTTAATGAAAACCCCCAATTAAAAATCCTGAAACAGCGAGAAGCTGTCCGCCATTCCGGCGTGCCAATTGCTGTGAGGTAACAAATTAATAGCTGAACTATTATGATGATAAATAATGTTTTGGTATGAGGACTGGATGTGCCGATGCCGCAGGTGGTGTGTTTCTTGTACAGGAATTCAATAAATGTGATGTGTGCATAACTAGACCGTTGTTTGCAAATATCATCTGTGGTAAATTCCATGGTTTGTGTTTGAATATAGAAAACTGTCAAGAAATGTCACATCTGGGGTCACGGTGGCACACCTCCAGGGTTGAGGGTATGACGATTCCCGCCGCAGCCATGTGTGTGCATGCTCTCCGCGTGCTTCAGATGTTTCCTCTGGGTACTCCCCCAGTCCAAGGACATGCATTGTAGGCTGATTGGCATGTCCAAAAGTGTCCGTAGGGTATGAATGAGAGTGTGAATGTGTGTGATTGTGCCTTGCCATGGATTGGCACCCCATCCAGAGTGTCCCCCGCCTTGTGCCTCATGCTCCCTGGGATAGGCTCCAGGTTCCCCGCGACCCAGCAAGGATAAACGGTAAAGAAAATGGATGGATGGATGGATGGATGTCACATCTTACTATAATAATATTTGCCCGATGCTTCCTGGGATAGGCTCCAGGTTCCCCGCGACCCTGAAGAAGGAATAAGCGGTAGAAGATGTATGGATGGATGGAATATCATCATAGCGCTATAGCATGGAGAGCAAAGTAAAGACCCTATGATTAATGCTACTACTACTAATAATGCTAAGAACTCCAATTGTGCATGCAGACGACACCTCAAACGAAAATGGAGGCAATGAGGATTTAGTGTCAAACCCCATTTGTAAATGTGACTTAGAGGCACAGACATGGATCTTTATCAGCTAATTAGTACTTTAATTGAGTAATAGGTGCATTTACATACAAAAAGGCACCACAAAGATTCGACTTAAAGGGCAGCACCGCAGCTGTTAATTCTTTATTTTTTAATTGCAGCCACAGCCCCTATTCATTCACTGTGCGACCTCAGTGACTTTGACTGTGGCATGAATGCTGGTGTCAGATGGGCTGGTTTCAACCTTCCAGTTTTGGTGATCTGTGTCCACTGTAGCCTCACATTCCTCTTCTTGGTTGACAGACACGGAACTTGATGTGGTCTTATACTATTGTGCTCTATCTGCCTCAAGGTTTGATGTGCTGTGTGTTCTGAAATGCTTTTTTTTTTTTTGCGGCTGTGGTTCAGGTTGGTAGAGCGAGTGTCCGGTAATCGTAGGGTTGGTGGTTTGATTCCCGGCCCACATGACTCAACATGCCGAAGTGTCTTTGGGCAAGACACTGAACCCCAAGTTGCTCCCGATGGCAAATTAGCGCCTTGCATGGCAGCTCTGCTACCATTAGAGTGTGAGTGTGTGTGTAAATGGGTGAATGAGACACAGTGTAAAGCTCTTTGGAACCGATATATAAGTGCAGACCATTTCTGCTTACCACAGCTGTAAAGAGTGGTTATTTGAGCTACTGTGACCTTCCTGACAGCTCAAACCATTTCTCATCAACATTTCAATGTTGGATCAGATCCAAAATCCAACCAATCGGATGTTGGATCAGATTGCTTCCACTATTTGATTGGGTGAAAAAAAATAATTTATAACGATAATAATATACAATGATCTAGAATGCATTTTGGACTATTTTCTCTGTTCACTTCTTGGAAACCACAAGGACATTTCCGGAGTTTGTGGAGCGAGGTTGATAATACCTTTAATCTTAAAAAACTTCACTCCTGCTTAAAAGTTTTCCCAGGAGTGAGTGAAGAGTTCTGTAATAAACACGGAAATCTACCGATCTTTCATTTTCACAAGAAGCACTGTCACTAAAGTCTGAAGAATATGATGTGTTGTAAACAACACGTTAAAAACCAACCCACGTTTTCACATTTAACATAGTGCTCTGTCAGATTTTGGTCAAAATTCTGTATAACAAGCTACAAATGAGACAAAATGGACAACAACAATCAAATCAAACACAGAGATGTATTCATTGAAAGTTAGCATTGATTAACATGTTAGCGTTGCTAATCCAGCGACCGGATTGACTCCTTATTGTTGATTGGTTTTATTCTTGTCGTTTGCACAGGTACATCAATGATACATTTTCTGAAACACTTTTAAAACAGAGTCATGCCACATGTCTGAGGTAACACTTAGAAGCTAGCAAGCTAACATTATCACTAACAGTACCGCTGGCACTTTTAGCAAAAAGTCTTAACTTTTAACTTTGATCGCTGAAACTAGCAAGTGTTAGCCGTTTATTCATTACTACAATTATTTGGAATTGAAAAGAAAATGCAAGAATGATGTAGATAGAGCTCGCTGTATATATTTTTCCTTTTGTGGTGGCAAGCTAGCCATGAGATTATCAGGCTATCTGTTGGTTATCTCTTTAAATCAGTAGATTTGTGACGAAATGCGATAAAGCACTAATCACCGAAAGTTTGTTTGAAATTGACATTTGAGTCGAGCAATGCACACATCATAAAACCTAACTAATTCAGAGTTTGAGATATTGTCACTGCATTTGTGACAGTTAGCCCCAAAAATTTTGTAAAAAAGCAGTCAACTCCACAAGAACATTGCAAACTGAAAGACTTCTGAAAGGATGAGCCTGTCCCTCTCCTCCCTGAGCTCATTTTAATCAGCAAGGGGCCAAGGTCCACCGGCTTGTCTAAGGTAATCACCATCAGGGGCCGTAAACCGCCGCTAATTGAATGCTCTCCTCATTGTCATGCACGATGGCACGCAGCCTCCTTGTATGGCTCTGCTTGCGCCGGCCTCTTCAGCTCAGCTCTGCCTCTCTTCGTCTATCTCAAGTCTTCCAACATCGTTTTTTCCCACAGATAGAGGAAGAAAGCAGGGCTTGTTCAGAGCAGCTACTCTTGCTTAGGGAATCTGGCGGAAAAGGAGGTCAAGCTTCAGGAGGAGGCGAGGGAGGTTTTTTTCAGGTTTCCAAGTCCATCACCGACACAGTTCGAGTTGATTCTGTTCCTGCCAGTCTCCTAGCACACTCGCTTCATCTGTCTCCAAAGGGTCAAGAAAAATGCCTTCGTGAGTGGACCTTTCTGCCTTCGCATTAACATATAGAGGAGCTAATTCAGTGTGAGCACCACAGCACCACAGGTTAACACGAGGCGACAAGGGTAGGTTTACCCAGACGACACCTAGGGGAAGAACAAAGCTTGCACTACTTCTTACTCAAAGACAAGTCCCTACAGCGCCAATTACAAAACAAGGTCATCAGTCTAGAGCCTTGTGCTCTTCATTTATAATTCAGGTGCGTATCAAATCTTCTTATTCATAGTAACACACCCAAGCGAGACTTGCATATGCATACTCGGGTGCATTTATCATTGGCGGCATTGCGCATGGCTATAATTAATTTGTGTTCACTGCTCCGCTAATAGCTACTCTCACCTGCACCCTCTGTACACGCCACCTCTGGCACTCACCTAACAAGGTCAGCACCCGCACTATTACATCAGGTTCTGCGAAGCCCTGGAGCGAGATGCAGAGTCCGACCGTGCTTCCTTATTGATTATTTTCTTCTTCCGTTCGTTTTCTTTTTTTTCCCCTCACAATTTTCACCTGGCCGCTTCAGAGCGCTGTAATCATTCTTCACAGACCCCCCCTAGACTTCCCTCACATCCCCCCTGGTGGCAGCTGTTGCTCAGTGAACCATCTGGAGAGGCACGAGAGAGCCCTCATCACCCTCTGCCCCTGATCACAGCTGGCAAAAAGACAGACAGAGAGAAACAGTGGGATAGAAGGAAAAGCATTAGAAAGATGGAGAATCTAAAAGACATAGCGAACCAAGGTATCCTCTGTGTCCTTTAAAACTCCTGTCAAGTTTTTAACATTACTTATAGCTTCTGGGATGAAATTACTGGACTCTAATAGAAAGAATGATGCTGGCCTTTTGCGCTCAGATCGCATTTCATTTTTGTCTGAAGTTTTGCTTAAGTTAGAAGGGACTGTATTAAAAATAGGAGAGCTCAAACCAGGTATTGGAATGTGCTTACATCAGCTACCTGCTTCACCCCAACCACAAAAACGTCTTTCCTGCTTACTTAGACTCATTTGTCCTTGAATGACCACGATCGAAACGGCACATATCCAGCAATCTTTTGCATTTCCCATAGTATCTCTGAGTCCATTCTTATAAACACTGAACGTGAGGTAGGAATACAGTACACCCTGAATGGTACGCCAATTTAATAAGAACGCTGTCGGTATTTTGAGTAAGACTGCAGTCTGAAGTTCTCTTCATTCTATGTTGAAAATAAGGGCAGTGGTAGCTTAGCGGTTAAGGTGTCGTACTATTGATCGGAGGGTCGTAAGTTCAAATCCCAGCTCTACCAAGCTGACAGTGCTGACAATGCTGGCAGGGCAACCCTTGGACAAGGCCCTTAACCATCAACTGCTCAGATGTACAAATGAGATAAATGTACATCACTCTGGATAAAGGTATCTGCGAAATGCCATAAACGAAAATAGGTAACGTCTAAATATTACCATGTACAAATAAGCTGCCTGCTCCACCCATCTACAGACGATCCTTATTCTAGCTTATTTATTTTGTCCATGAATAACCCTGAACAAAACCGCACCTAGCCAGCAATTTTGAGCATTTTGTATACCTAATCATTAGTTTGTGTGGAATCACAATCTATAGCAGTCACCTAAATTGCAAAATAAAAGGTAGGACTCTACCGTTAATTAGCCTGTATCAGCAGCGGTGCTATTAGTTTGACAAGGCAGTAATATTCGAGCTCATTTTTAAATCCGTTTAATCGTTTTTAAATAACTGAACGACAGCACTCAAGCACGCTTAAACAACAAAGTTTTGATTCACATGAAAAAGCAGGGATTTCCCAGACCACAGCAATGTCGAATTCTCAAATCGGATTATTCAGAAGCTGTTAATTCATTTACTATAATAGCAGCTCTGACGCTAGTGCAAATCACAGGTTTATACGAACGTGCTCGTTCTAATACATCAGCATTTCTATAGTAATGGCGAATTCGCAGGGATTGGTTTCGCTCCACATCATCGAAGTCTAATAGTAATACTAAAAAGGAGTTATTCAACAGAGAAAGATGTATAATTGTTACTATAAGGATATTTACAATAATGAGAAAGTAGTTCATTTATTCGTTTCTGAACGGAATCTCCAGTGCAATTTAGATTTTTAACAGTCAGAGTTAAAGCTGTAACTTATTTATTTATTTTTTGGTAAGTTTTCTGCCATGGGAAAGTCTTCAGGACAAAGAGCTTTGTGCTTTGTGCTTTCTCAGTAACAAGCTGCATTGTTTTTTTCCTTACGTTCAAGAGAGAGAGAGAGAAAAAGAGAGGCCAGTGAGGGAACAGCTGTTTATAGCTATTGAATGAACTTGTAATCCACTATAAATGGATTAAGTGTGTGATGTGTCATTGTTTAATTAATACCAAAAACCAAGTCATTGATGAATTGTTGTGGGATAAGACGAATAAAACATCCATTTATTTTCTGTACAGCTCCTACGCATGGTCCCAGGGAGTCTGGAGACTAGCCCAGCGGACTCGGGGGCACAAGGTGGGGGACACCCTGGACAGGGTACCAACCCATTGCAAGGCACAATCACACACACGGCAGATACTTTAGAGATGCCAATCAGCCTACAACTCTGGGGGGACAAAACTGGGGTAGGAAACTGGAGTACCTGGAGGAAACCACTGAAGCATGCAAGTCAGAGGCAGGAATCGAACCACCAACCCATGGAGCTGTGAGGCAAATGTGCTAACCATTAAGCCATCATGTCCCCTGAATAAAACATGAATAAATAATAATGCTCTTGATTATTTTCCTATAACAGCACAGCCCACTGTGTTTTATTCTTTACTGAAATTCCATTTACAGGTCTATACAGGACTATAATTCTTGAATTTACTCTTGGCTAGTAATAAGTGACAGATCTAGTATCACATTTTTTTTTTACCGTTTGAAACCATAGCCGAGCATAGACAAACGCTTTAAGGCTCATAAATTGTCTCTCAGTGTCTTTCAGCAGAAGGGCTATTGATCTGAGAAAGACAAACACCCCTTCCTGTGCTACGCTTCGACCTCCTCTATCGACAATGATTTCTGCTGCTTTCCCTGGTTAAGTATCCCTGTAAGTCCGTCAGGCTCTGCTGAGGCAGAGAAGGAAAGATTCTCAGGGAAAAGCTCCTGAGGTCTTCTCCTCCTCACATTTAATCAAAGTTTGTGAATCACTGTGTCATCCGTGTTGCCTCAGAATCTTGCTGCCAGTCAGTCAGTTACTCAGTCTGTCTGTAGGTCAGTCCATCAGCCCGTCAGTCCGTCTGCCAGCCCATCAGGAAATGCGTCCGTCAGTCAGTCCGTCGTTTAGAGAGATGGCATGATTCCTCCATTAGCATTCAGGTTAACAGCTACACGGTCCATTGTATCTCTCTCATCAACTGTCACAAATCTTTTGACGCTGACTGTGATTAAATCAAAAACTGTTTTTCGCCGGGCTCGTTTCTGAATCCCAAGATCCCCTGTAATAGCCTGCCTTTCTGCAGTGGTTTCTTACCATATGCGAGATTTTTATTCCCGTTTTCCTGTTCCCTGTAGAGTGTGCTCTATTTTCGTCCCACACTCAGCACCTGCTCATTGAAGTGGCTTCAACAAGGAAACTTGATTAGGCCATAGTAACACCTGATAAACAATGTATGACAGTCTGAGGTGAAGAAATTTACTCATCTCTGTAGTGCGCTGGTCTAAATTAGCAGCTGAGAGACCACCAGCTGAAAGTCCACCTGGGGTTTGAATGCCCAGGTGGCCAAACGCGCGCAAGATTCAGTCCAGGTGTGGCTCAACACCTTATTTAGATAATCATAGAGGCTACATCCATTTTTAATTCCCTCTCCCTCTTGTTTCCGCTAATTAAGAGGTACCTGAAGGATCTCAGCCCTGGAGAACAGAAGGATCTCATTAGCTTTTCCTGAGCCACTGTGTCACTATCTGTGGCTATCCAGTTTGGCTTGCTTCATTGGCTGAAAAAAAACTCCTCTGAGTTTGAACCAAAACGTGAACCATTAAAGGGAATGTGGAGTCTTGTTTTAATCAGTGGTATAGTTCTCTAGCACCTTCTGCTTGACTTCTGGTGGGACAATGGGAAACAACAAGTTTCAAGTCATTTATGTATTCCCCTTCAAAACACTGCCATCGCTACCAAAATGTCTGAAAGGACTTCAGAGCCGAGCACCCGAAAACATTTTTTCATGGTGAATTATTACAGCGAGACACAGTGCCCCAGTCCGCTTGCAGAGTACAGGCGGCTCATTAGTCTAGCTGTTTTTACAGAGACTACGTGTACTGTACAAAATGGGACTGACGAGACAAGAAAGTGTTTACTGACCCAGAGAGAGACGGCCGGCAGAGTTCAAGGTACAGACGATACGTCTTTGCAAGCTAACAGCAGTGCTGATCACGTCCTGCAATTTAATTAGTCGACTGAAGTTCATTAGCAGGCTTGACAGAGGCTAGCGTCTGCACATACTCCGAGCAAGATTCTGATTAACAGGCTGGATTTGAACACGTATGGCGGTTTAAACTGGGCTTCTTTGTTGTTCCAGTCTCAGATGAGCAGAACACCAGGATTAGCCAATCCAGGGATTAGTATTCTTTGGCTAATGATCATTCATCCCACTGACCGTGAAGTCTGTTTCTCTTGTCTCTCTGATTAGCGAGCCAGAAAATATAACATGACTAGCGCTCTAATGAATGCAGTGTCATAGAGAGCAGCAGTCTTTTTGAATCTGACTTATGTGCTTTTAGATATTAACAAGCGAAGGATTTGTATTATTAGCGCTAGTCTGTCCAGCTTGGAGAGTTCTCCAGCAGCCAACGGGATGATGGAAAGTGTATATCCGGCTTCATGTGAACACGATTATGGTCTTGAGGTTGAAAAAAATCATCAAAAAACCAGCGACGGCAATAAAAATGTGCTAAGTGGTAAATCACAGCATTCTGTAGGTGAGTCAGCTCGAAGCCCATGGATTTTAAATATAGCACATACTTTTTTCATAAGGATCGCAGCGACAAAAAAGAAACAGGATATAGAAAAATGTACGTGCTCTTGAAAAGGAATAGCCGAGTACGTCTCATTTACACTTGACTAGCTAATTAGATGCACTCAGCACATTATATCTTCTTTCAGACGTAGCAAGGATTCAAGCCAATAAGGACATTAACTGGTTCTAGTCCCTATCGCATGTGCCCCAGCACTTCACTGACAGCCTGTGTTAATTTAGGTTCTCTACACCTGAAGAAGACAGCCAGCCACTTCAGAGGAAAAATGAAGTGTCAGTATGAAATACAGCTAAGACGTGGGTATTGTAATTACGCGTAGCTTCACAACTCAGCAGCAGAGATCAGCTAAAGCTTAAATGTGACGTGCAGCAAAACAAATAGTCGATTAAAATGATTCATATGATCGACTTAACTGGATGGTGCACCACTAAAAGCCCAAATATCCATTCATGAAATTATCCATCCATCCATCCATCCCTTTCTCCACCACTATCCACCCATCAACCTTACACAAACATTCTTTCATTCATCCATGTGCTATCCATCTACATCTGTCCAATTTTCCCTGATTATCACGTTTTCTATCACTCTATGCATGTATAGGCCCCTCCTGTCATCCATCCACCCACCAGTTCCCCCAGACTACATCTTTCAAACATACTATCCATCAATACATTTTTGTACCCATCGATCCATGTGTCTATTTTCCCTGTTCACCAGCTTCTCCAACAGTCTGTCATTCCATTATTTATCCATCATCCCTCCATCAATCTATGCATGCATAAACCCCTCTTCCCATTCACCCAATTTCCTCATATTACAGCTTTGTCTCATTCTATCCGTCGGTAAAGCTTTGCACACATCCATCCAAATTCGCTGTTCACCTATTTCTCCATCATTCTATCCAACCATGGAGCCCTTCACTCATTACTTATCCATGCATCTGTTCATCCATCCAGTGCTCCCGATTCTCCCTTTCTCCATCACACTGTGCATGTATTAACCAATCCTCCCATCCAGACACCCATCCACTCATCCACCAATTTCTGCATACTAGATCTTTTTGTCATTCTATCCATCGGTAAAGCTTTGCACCAATCCATCCATCCATCCATCAATCCATTTTTAACTGATCAGCGATTGATTCATTATTACGTCCAACCATGTGCCTCTCAAACCATACACCCAATCAATCAATTTATCCATCCACCCACCATCCGCCTGATCATTCCTTCTGCCATTACTCTATCCATGAACTTTCTTACACTTTCGCACCATCCATC